TAAAATAAACGATAAAGACATTTTTGAAACAACACTAGAAAACTTAATAAAATTCATTGTCATGAATTGAAATTCAGTAGCTGGGTTTGGGAAGAGCCACCTAACAATGTAAAGTACCCTATTATAATGATTTTATATATATTATTAAAAGCAATATTTTTAAAAATGAAACAAAAAAATAATTTCAGGAGCTTAGTAAAAAAGTTGGCATATTTAAATGTTTTTTAAATATGTTTTTGTTGTTAGTGGACAGGAGTTTGCTCGATTTCTGTATAATGGCCCATATATCAAAGGGTAATGAGGTAGATCTGAATTGAAAACAACGTAAATTAAAAGCACAACTAGAATCGGTCAAAATTAAAATTGACAGAACAGAAAGAAAATCTGATATTAGCCTGAAAAAGTCAGATCAAAGCATAAACCCTAACCCTTCACCAGCCAGCTGACCAGCAGTGTGCAGTTAAAGGTGCTAAAAACCACGACTTTTGAAAACTTTGCCATCATAAGTCTACGAAGGTTTTATCCTCTCCTATACCTCTATTTTTATCTCTTTACAAATGCAGCCGCATTACATCTGAATTTTTACCCCAATTCAAAACTACAGATTTTAGACGTCTAAACATAACCGTCTCTTCCTTTCAAGGCTTCAATCAAAGAAAGACCAAACTGTTGCTGCTCTCGTGAACTCCATCCAAGGCAGTAGTAGTGTGTTTGCTGAAGTGAAGGGAGTAAAAAAGCAATCTGCCACTCACACTCACACCTCTCCCTGTCTCCTTCACAGCCCGTCTCTCTCCAGCACTGCCACAACCTTGCAGCAATCAAATTAGCCACACTCTCTTACCCAGAATACGTGCCAAAGGAATGAGCAGTCGGACTATAATTGCTACCAACTAATAATGTTAACCTTTCTGTGGTATATGGGCCCTACTTTATTATCAGTGCAGCGCGGTGAGCAACGACAAGTCTCCGATGTGTCGACAAGCTGCAATCTCACACACCACCACTCTTAATAACAAGACTCCCGGTAAGGGCAGACTTACAGATTTGTTCCTGTTTCTGAAATGAAAACTTCACCGCTATGCAGATATGGAAACCCAAACACATTCCATAGAGCTCCACGTTAAAGAGAATATCAACAGATCTGGTAAAAAAATAAACATTTTATCTGGAAAACTTACAAAAGAAGACATTCGGTATAAGGCATTTATTATTTACATTTAAAAGGGGCTTAAATTCAAAGTTCAGGTATTTTCTAATAAAAAAACAAACATATTAATGTGAAGCATCCAGCAGAGAACAGTTAGCTCACGGTTTCTACTCTGGAAGTAGAAGATTAAACTTGACATTTTCTAGACCATAAATCGGAAAAGTTTCTGTTTCGGAGCAGAAATAACATTTTTAAGCTAGCAGGCCGGGGTTTAAACCTGAGGCCTCTGTTGCCAGGGGACGGCAGGCGTTAGCAATGGTTGCCTGGGAAACGGCTAACACGCTAGCATAAGTTTATCCATATTTCCGTAAAAGTTTACACTTTAATCATAAATCATTTGTTGTGTTTGATTGACCAGCTAACAGATGAGTTAACATTTCTTCATAATTATTGGAGCTTAATACATTCTAAGTATATATTTAGAAAAAAAAAAAAAATTCAATCCACTTTATTTATATAGCACGATTTCAATAAACACAAGGTTTCCAAAGTACGGAGCCCCTTAAGGGACATGGAGGGGAAAAAAGAAACTTTTGCGAGATCCCGCAATACTTTTGTGAGATCTCGCAAAAGTATTGTGGGATCTCGCAAAAGTTTGTTTTTTGCGAGATCTCGCAATACTTTTGCAAGATCCCCCAATACTTTTGCAAGATCCCGCAATACTTTTGCAAGATCCCACAATACTTTTGCGGGATCTCGCAAAAGTTTCTTTTTTGCGAGATCTTGCAAAAGTTTTGCGGGATCTCGCCAAAGATTATTTTTTTCCCCTCCATGTCCCTTTAAGGGCTCCGTACCAAAGTGCTGCACAGAAAGATAAAATAACTCAAATAAATAAAAATAAATAAAAGTAAATAAAATAAAAGGATAAGATATGCGTGTATATACATAAAATCAACACTCTACATGGTGTCAAAAGCCAAAGAAAAGAGGTGGGTTTTAAGAAGAGTTTTAAAAAATAAAGACAGTATGATAAAAATACCAGATCATGATCCACCCATTTAAAACATTAGCAAATAGTTGAAATAGATTAATCATTTAAATTCTGACTTTTTTTTCTACTGTAGCCCTGAATCTAAGTGAATAATTCTATGTTTATTTACTATATTTATTACTCTTAGAGAGTTAGGTCAAACTAAGCAAACAAAAAAGCAAAAACGATAAAGTTTGGTTAAAGTTGAAATCACTGAGCTTCATTAGAACAATCCTGCAGCTTAAAGTGGTTCCCTGCATTAAAATAAAATGAAGTATAACTTCACATTTAATCAAAAAAATATCTGCTATAATTACTATCTTTAGGTTAATCGGTCATGTTTTTATGTAACATCAAATCAAAACTGATTACAAATATTTTTTATCAGAAGTCTCAGCAGGAAAATAAATCTAGAAAGCAAGTAGTGCTGAAATCATGACTGCTAACAGAAGTTGCTCTAGAGCAATCTGAAAGAAAATCTGAATTTAAGTCCAATAAAATTGCTAAATCTGTTATCTCACTCCTGAGTTCCTCCCCTAGATTAGGAACCAAAAAAATAAATAAAAGCCATCAGGTCAGGCTTCAGTCTGAAGGACCGAAACCTCCTGCAGCTGCCAAAGCTCTGGGCCCAAACAGTTGACAAACCAGAGGATGTCAACAAGCGCTTCTACAGGCTGCAGGGTCCCACAGTGAGGTCATTACTGTGCTTTGTGTTAAAGCTGTAGCCTGTGGTACCGCTGTGATATGACTGCATGGATTAAAGCTGCAAAATAACCATGTTGCAGTGTGTTTATCATAGCAGAGCTCCACTCAGCCCGAGTGGATGTCATGTGCAGAACCTTAACTCGGCTCCTACAGGGACTCCCAATCACACTGAAACGGCTGGATAACAATTTTCCCAGCATTTTTGCTCAGGTTGCATGATCAGCCTTTTTTTGTGCCAGTGAGCGCATGAGTCGGGGAACAATCCTTTAAATTGAGGAATGCATTTTTATTTTTCATGAAAGGGTAAAGTTGCCTTTAGTTCCTGTGAACACAAACCCAGTGACCCACTAAGTCATTTAAACAGCAATAATCAGAGGCCGCTCCTACGGAAGGAGGAAGGCGGTGCAGAGAGTGCAGATATGACTGATATGTGGAAACATTTATGATCCTTTTTTTTTTGCAGAGAAAATGAATTTGCATTTAAATTCAAACAGGAAATTGCACTTTAGAGGACCCTAGTCACAAAGCTTAAGATAAAACAGAGCAATTAGACCTTTTCCTGTTCTATATGGATTTCTAATTTTCTTTTAAGTCTAACCTGACAGTTCAATTTTTCTATTATTGGGTTGAAACTGAAAGAAAAAACTGCTTTGTTAGAGCTAGTGGGTATAAATCTAACTTTAAATTATGAATAAATGATACTACTACGTTGCTATATATCATTTACCACAAAATAATGCAATTTGAATTAAAGAGTTTTAAATGCTGCTGCACTCAGTGACTAGGAGAGAAATTGTTTTTTCCAGTGTTTGACCTGATCAGCTCTAAACTCTGATATATTAGTGCTTTTCAAAATAATTGTTTTGGGTTTTTTTCCTCCCATTTGTGACATTTTACAGCATTCTGCAGATCACATCCTAGAAGGTCAGAGATAACCCAAACCCGCTCATTAATAACTAATCCTCTTCCCTCACTAAAAAAGATCATCTTTCCTATTTAAAGATCTTTTAAGAAAACATGAAATGATCAGATCAGTTGGTGAACAAACAAGCAGCAAATAAACAGTCACCATCAGCAACCTGCTTTCCCAAAAAACCACAGATTAGGAGCAAAAGATAAGAGGAGATCAGATTATAATCCAGAAACATCGGGGGGAATGTCAGCATATCCGGATTAAATACAGCTGATAAAATACTTAATGAGTGTGGGATTGTAGGGAGAAACACATTGCTGAGAATTAGCTAAAAACAAAAATTTTTAAAAATCCCAAAAGAAGCTGATGGCAGAGAGGAAACAGGTCCAGATCCCTGCGCTCTTTTTTCACTCATCCAGACAAAGAGCCAAACAAACATCTGCTTTTTATGTTTTCACTTTTATTTATAATCCCTGATAAACTACATCTGCTCCAGAGTTTCACACAACGTCCATCAACAAGTATTGGAAAAATAAAGGGAACCTTTATTTGTTTATTTTTTTAAATCCACGCCGTCCCACGCGCGTGCCAAAAGCCCCCTTTACCCCTAAAAATGATTTTCACTGACATTTCCACCAATGCAGCAAAGCGCGCTCCCAAAAGCCGATTTCCAGGGCAGGAGAGGAGGGGGGAGGGGAGGGGGGGGTCCTACGGTTTGGACACTGCGCGCGACCGCACCGCCCTCTCAAAAAAACTCTGTGCGGGGGCGCGCGTGAGCGGCCGACGAGCGCCGAACCCGATTGGCTGAAGCTCGGCTCCATCTGCGCACGTGACCTGCACTGCTTAGCTACAATAAATAAACTGATATGAGGGGAGAAATGAGTTAGAAATGGCTGGAAAATGCTCAAACTTTCCGCTAAAACAACACGACGCAATTAAGCAGGCCGCGCGCGCAGCGGCAGCTGCTGAAACTGATGAAAACGGGTCCCTGGAGAGGCCAAAAAACTTACATCTGAATCATATATTTTTATATTTTTGGACAGGTCCGGTGGGAGGAGAACAGACCTCGGCATAAAAAAGGAATAATAGCTTTAGAGGTTTCCGTTCCAGATGACCGTAGCGGTTCTCTGCTTGGCAGAGCAGCCAGAGGAAACAGCGGCACCGAAGCCTCACACACGCGTCCACACCATTCCAAGCGGGCTTACCTACACAGTGAATGAGTTTGTGCCTCCAAGAGTCAAGTTCCTGCCGAAAGCCGCGCCTCTCTATCGTGCATTGCTGCCTTTTGCACAGACTCGCCATTTTCTATCGGCCCCTCCCGTGGGCGCGCACATAGTGCTGGGTGCTCCTCTGCGCGCACGTCACCGGTGCTTTTTATTCTAGGGCTGGGTGGAGAGAGATATGAGGAGGACGGGGCTGCAGCATCCCCCTTTCTATACCGCTGTTTGTCCCACCCACCTAAAGTGCCCCCTCCCCTCCCGGCTCTCACAGCATCTCCATGCGAGGCTTCGCTGCCATTGGCTGCTTTAATGGGATGTTTGTTTTAATATGCATCCACACGGTGCGCCACATGCGCGCCCGTGCGCCTAATTTCTTTTTTTGTAGTGGCTTAAACCTGCTCTATGTGTGTCGAAGGGCGAGGGTGTGCCGTGCGGGGATTTAAAGAAAGCTTAAAGTATGTGCATTGTTTAAATCAACAGATGGGTCAAACTCTACCTCTGTATACTGGAGTAAAAAAAAAAAAAAGTGCGTTTTAGATGTTTTTTGTTTAATGGCTTAAAAAAAAACTAAGCAAGCAGAAAAAACATGCAAAGGTCATCCCAGATTATTTTTAAGCTCTAACTTTCTAATAAGAGTAGCGTACAGACTATATAATATGTTATGTTTTAAGTGAAACCTGAATACTTAATAAAAATCACCTGTTTCAACATCACATTTTATCTTCATTTTAGGTCAGTGTTGCTTATTACAATGAATAAATTGTCCTATATTATTTATTTTACATCCAGATGTATTGGAATGTTTACAAAAATATAACAATAATCAAGTCAAAGTTTATTTATATAGCACACTGACCAGAGTCAGTGAACAAAGTGCTTCCCAACAATCACCTCACAGGTAGATAAAGGATAAAAGCATTAATAAAACTAGATTAGATTTTTAAAAATCAATAAAAAAAGGTCAAATTTGCTATAAAATACCAAAAGCAAGAATACAAATGAAAAGCAGGACTTATATTATTTCAGTTGAAGCATTTTTTCCAAAAACTTTGATTAAAAAAAATATTTATACAGCACATTTCATCTGTAAGGCAATCCCAAATGCTTTACATCATAAAAACATCAGATTAAAATCATTAAAAAAATTAATCGAGCGCACAGCAAATCAGTAAAGGATCAGAATCATCACCCAGAATCGTAAAAACATCATCCAGAAACATGCTGATCCTGATGATCAGCGACTGATAAGATATTTGTTCAGAGCAGCTTTTCACCTGGATTGGTTTGTGGACTGCTAATCAAAGGCAGCTCTAGAGAGGCGGGTCTTCAGACTTTATTTAAAATAAATTTGTGTTTTATCTTTTTCAGCGAATTTTTCCCAGATTAAAGGTGCATAAAAAAACTGACAGCTGCTTCTTCATGTTTGCTTCTGGTCGACGAACACTTCACAAAATTTGAATATGGATGATTTTTTTTTAAGGAGAATTTAATAAGTGCTACACAAGACAAGTTCTTTAAAATATAGAAGCATTTAAATATCATAAATCACTTTATATTAAGGAATAAAAATAATTAATCCCCTTAATGTCAGAATAATAACAATCATAACCTGAAAAATGTTATAAAATGTATTAGTTTTATTATTCCAATGTTTCTGATTCCTCACTTCTGGGTTTGTAAAAGAATCATGGGATGTTTTCTGAGCCCAGTGTAAAAAAAGTACTAGAAGTGGCTAGTAACTAGTTACATTTTCTTAGTTACATTTACAGTATTTTATTTACTTGTTTTGGGGGAAAAGTATTTTTAGGAGTAGTGCTACATTGTACTTTTTGTTATAACCCCAATAGAAATATCACTACTCTTTCTTGAGTAACATTTCTGACCATGTGACCTAATGAGAAAGAGTAACTTCAATTAATGAAAACAAACTAATTTTAAAATAGCAGAGATCCAAACCAACTTATTGTTTTGTGCAACAGACTTATTGGTTTAATGCAGAGATGAGAAAAGTACTCACTTTCCGTACTTGAGTAAAAGTACAGATACTTGTGTTAAAAAATACTCTGGTAAAAGTGGAAGTACTGATTAAACTTCTTTACTCAAGTAAAAGTAACAAAGTACAGGCTTGTAAATTTACTTAAAGTATAAAAGTAAAAGTAGAAACCACTTTTTTCATGCCGTTGCCTACATTTTAAATGGATGTCTGCCAATAGGACTAGATCTCCGTTGTGTTAATTTTCAATCATCTCGTCGTCCATGCTACTATGCTAACGCCACCGCCACCAAGCTGCAATGATTTGCCGCGAATGAATACCGCCGAATCTGTCCATTCATCTTGTAGTGGTGCGTCAAATGCAACGTAGATTCCCATCCAATTAGATTGAATTTGGTATTGATGACGTGAAAAATAATAACGGTAACTCCATTGAAATGATTCAAAACTAAAGTAACGAGCCAATTTTTTTAAATGTAAGGAGTAGAAAGGGCAGATTTTTGTGTAAAAATGTAAGGAGTAGAAGTAAAAAGTCACCATAAAAATAAGTAGTAAAGTAAAGTAAAAATATCAGAAAAATCCACTTGAGTACAGTTACTTCCCATCTCTGGTTTAATGTAACTGCAGCTACAATCTAACTATTGGTTTTTGTACTTTTTTTTTACTTGTATAATGTGTTCTGGAATATTCCTTCCAAAGAAAATGATGATTGTGTTATTATATTTTTTTATTTTTTATGATCATGGCTGGTGAGTAGATCAGTTACTCAGTATTTAGGTATCCTTTTTACCAAATACTCTTAAGTAATTTCTTGGAACACTTCGTAATTTTACTTGAGTTAAAAAAAAGAAAAAAAAAAAGAACAAGAAGTGCTATTTTCACTCAAGTAATATTTTTCATACTCTACCCACTTTTTTTTACCAGTACTACTACTAGTACGAATAATAATAACACCATTAATAAGAGTAATAAACAATGCAGCGTATCTTTTCATATTGCACCTGTCAGAGCTCATTTGAAATTTGCTTTTCAAGATAAGATTCAGAAATCATCAAAGATTTATACAAAGAAACAAATGAACCTTTATTATATAAAATAGAAATTATTGTAAAATATATATGCATATAAAAACTGTTTAAGGGAATAAAATGAAGAAATCATTAAAAAGAACAACAAAGCATTTATATAACAATCAAATGTTTTTAATTAGAAAAGAATGATCTTATCACTTACTACGGAGATTCGACTGTTTCAAATATAATATTTCACATCAGAATTTGATATAAAAAAAGGATAAATCTACAGTTTAAACCAGAGTGTTATGCTGCGTTTCAGCTAGATTGGAAGTCTAACTCAGACCCCCCCCCCAACATTGGTAAAATTAAATATGTGTAACTCATGTATTGAGACCAAGGCCATCTGAAATACAAATACACATTGTTGCTCTACACTGCAGCCAAATTGGATTTTGAACTCAGGGTTATATATTGAAGCCTCTAAGTTTCCAATTTATAACAGAAATGGAATTCCATTTTATTTCCTTTCCGTCCATTTTTTTAACTTTTATTACCAAATTTATAAGGGACGATCAGTTTGAAGTTCATTTTGCCATATTTTCTGTAAAGCTGATTTATTTTGTTTTTTTAAACCTGTCACTTAAACCTAATTTTCAGTTAAAGAAATAAAAATGTTTATAACCAAAACCCTCTATGCTACTGGACCTCTCTAGATATTTTTGTAAGAATTTTGGAAATTCTTCAGAAAGCTTGTTTCTGTTAGGATGCTGAGGCTTGCCCACCAGAGGGCGCTGAGGATTCCTTCCTAGGCGTTTTTGTTACTGTTGGGATCTGGGGTTCTGTCTACCTTTCTCCACCAGAGGGCGTATTGGATCTCCTGAAGCTGGAGCTGACTTCACCAGCTGTTTCTCATCTGCTCATCAGGAGACCAGTATTTAAGCGGGCTGAGAACCTCACTCCGGTGCCAGAGTGTTAGTCAGTCACGGTACAACAAACCCTGAGCCAACCTGCCTGTCTAGTCTCCTGACTACGAAACCTGAACCTGATCCATTTTGTTTTCTCTGCTTCCCAGGTTGAACCTGCCTGAAACCAGAAATCCCCTGAAGAGTTTCTCTGTTGGAAATCGGTCGTCTGATCTCAGTAGAACCCTGGAGAACCAAACCTGTCAAGGATCTGCCAGCCTGCCCCCAGAAGAATCTGGAAGTGAAACCGAAGCTGAAACCAGGTGATCTACAAGCTCTAACCAAACTCAGCCTCCACCAAGCCCTCAGCCTGCCGTCAGCCTCTGGACCCCCCTGGTTACCCCCCTTTGCCGCTCAGCTCAAAACTCCAGTGCTGTGAACCCTGTCGAGACCAGTCCCGAACCTGATAACCCTGGATCTGTTTATTCTCTGGACTGTGTTCAACAATAAACCTTTGAACTTTTTCCCTGCCTCCGGTTGTGTTCTGCATATGGGCTAGGAACCAAAACTCATGACAGTTTCCATCAGTCCCTCTAATAATCAGAACAGTTTTATTCTGCATCGTACTCTAAGCGTCCAACGACCATCCATCAAATGGAAAGCTCAGCGTGTTGATCTTAGATCTTCGATATTCAGAGGCAGTAAAGTATGCTTTATTATCTCAGAAATGGTAAATTTGAAGCAGCGAGCAGATATGGAGAAATCAATGATAACTGTGCAACAACTTTTCTTGTTGGTCTTTTTTAAAGGATGTTTTGAAAATTATATATATATACGGTCTGTCTTGCATCACCTTTGAAGAACTCATAGTTTATATATATATATATATTTATATATATATATATATATATATAAATATTATGTTTTCTTCAAAGGTGATGCAAGACAGAACGTTAAAGCAGATCCTTCAAATAATGAATAAATAAATACATTTAAATAAATCATTAATAGATGAAGTATGTCATGGTGCATTTACCATTTCATTATTTAATAGTACATTTAATGGTAGAACCAAGAAGGTTCTGGGTTTGATTCCCGGCCGGGGGTCTTTCTGCATAGAGTTTGCATGTTCTCCCTGTGCATACTTGGGTTCTCTCCAGGTACTCCAAAAACATGACTGTTAGGTTAATGTGTGTCTCTAAATAATTGTCCTTGGTTGTGAGTGTGTGTGCATGGTTGTGTGTCTTTTTGTGTCTCTGTGTTGCCCGGCGACAGACTGGTGACCAGTCCAGGGTGTACCCGGCCTCATTCCTATAGACTGCCGGACATAGGCACCAGCCTCACAACGACCCTAACAGGACTAAGCAGGAGAAAATGGATGGATGGATGGATGGATTAAAAACATAGTTCTGAATTGAATTGTTTACCTAACATCATTAGACAATATTCCACATTTCACACTCAAAAATAACTAAAACCAAACATTAGAAAGAACAACACTGAGCTATTTGCTAACAGTGTTTCTTGTAACTCCAGCAGCGTTTCCATTACAAATGTACGCAAAATATTCTTCCACTGTGAGCAACTTGAGCTTTTTGGAGATCAACCGAACACTTGATATTGTCAGAGGAGGCTCTCAACATAAAAATCAGTTTTATATGTTTTATAAAAAAAAAAAAAAAAAAAAAGATTTAGTAAAAGAAATTTAAGTTTTTTTATATAGCACATTTCTGTAGCATGCCAATTTATTAGGGGGTCCAGGGTACGGACAGGGATTTTTCTTGGGGCCACAGAATGTAAAGAATAAAAAAAGGGGTTAATATTTCATCATTTAAAGTCATAGCTACATCTTTTTCATCAAAATGATAAATTTAAGAAGAAAAAAAACATCCACTGAAAATCTAGAATAATGCAGCATAAAAGTATCAATTTTAATTAAAAAGGAAAATCTAATAATATTATTAACTTTATAAGTTGCAACGGGTCCAAAATATATAAATATTTACTTCTGGTTATGATGCTTACATCAACGCGAAATTATTTTATGCCCATAGAATTCACTGGCGGAAGGGGAGTAGCCACCTAGTGGTTAGGGCATAGAGCTAGGAATCCAGAGGTTCTGAGTTTGAGCCCCACTCCCACAGACTGCCACTCTGGGACCCTGAGCAAGACCCTTAACTCCACACTGCTCCCCAAGGGGATGGGTTAAACGCAGAAGCAAATTTCTCCAATGTCAGACCAATAAAATTAGATTATTATTATTATTTTTTTTTTTATTTCTTTTTTATTTTATTTTTTTTTTTTTATTACGTGAGACAGAGCTCAGGCATAACCAGATGCTAGTAGGTCATAGAGCTGAGACATCTTCTCAATATTATCTCAGATTTTGGCCAAAAAAAAAAAAAAAAAAAAACTGAAGTAAAACTAGGATGAACATTGATGCTGAATCAAGGAAGTAAAGAGGAGATTGCTGCGTTCCCTCTGAAAAAGTTAACATTAGCAGACCAGGCAACTGTATTGCAAACAGCAGAGAATGAGAGCAGTAGAAAATGAATGGACCACTTACTGGCTGGGAGGAGTTAAACTTGTAGCTATCGCCTTTAGATATGCCACAAAATAAATGATCTCCAAAGACTTTGGAATTGCTGATTAAAGCTGTGACTTTATCAACACGGTATAAGCTAAAAGTAAAACATCTTCATTTCCATATCATTATTAAAGAAAACATCCGGTTCAAACTTCTGAAAGTACTTTAAATATAAAATCATTACATACTGTTCAATAAATGATCAGTGTTTTTAATTAAGAATAATTTTCATGTGAATGTGCTTTACTGGAGGCATCCATGTTTGTCAAAGAACACTACTGCCACCTACTGGTTTGTGACGTCACGGTGCGGTATCGGCTGTTGATCAAGTCCCAGTGCTGTATCTGGTGTTTGTCACAACGCAACATTATCCAAGTCATCTTGAAAACATTCTTCTTCCAAATGTTGGCTACATATTACGTATTTTTCCTCTGGTCAGAAGTTCGATGGCAAATCCTCCCTCTTCAAGTTGGCGATCAAACGATGAACCCGACCGTGGAGGATCAGGAATCAGAAAGGTGGAATAACTCTTTTTTTCCCACTTTTACCCGATGTATTCCAGCATCCAGCTGCCATGCACGTGGGCATTGTGAGTTTCACTATAGCTCTGGTGAATTTCAATGGTGAAGTCCTCTGGAAATCTTCAATAATTGTTGTTGATTGCAGATGTGTCTAGTAGTTCCCATTGATTTAGCTTGTAAAGCGGGGAGAATGGCGCTAGGCTTACCGCACCGTGACGTCACTGCTGGAAGATGGCAGGAGGGAGGGGTTACTATATTTGGGGAAAAATAACCGCTCCCAGACTCATTGATCGCAACGAAAATAATTTTAAAAATATTTTCTACTGATTAACGCTAAATTAATTAAATCACCACAAACGAATTAGTTTTAGGTATGATGATGATCCATCAAGACTTTTCCTTTAAAGAAAAGCTATAAAAAGTAAAAAAATACATATTTTTGTAGTTAGTTACTGTTTTTATACCACTGTATATTATCATAAGAAATATATTTAGTGTTATGTTTTCTGAGGAGGAGCCATAACAGGAACCCTAGAACAATGCAGCTGCATAAAGGAAAAATACATAATTATAGAAAATAAAAATATATAAAAGAGAACTGAAACTAGTTCTTCTATGTATAATTTTTTTTCTAAATACATAATATATTCTTATGTATTTTGGTCTTTAAAATACCAAAAATTGCACATAAAGTCTGTTTGACTGTGTCATTTCTAAACATTAAATCAGATGTAACACATTTTATTGTCATTTTGTATACAGAGTATATATAAAATAAAATGCCATTTAGTACCGTTTTTCAGACAGTAAATGAACATTTCTATTCCATAAAGTGCAGCAGTGATCAAATATAAAAAAGCATGGTGCAAAAAAGCACACTGATCTGGAAGTTCAGAGCATGAAATATATGTGGCGCTATTATGTAGAGTTTTGGTTTGGTGTTATCAGTGTGATGCAAAAATTGCAGTTTTTGCCATTTTTAAAAAAATCTTACTTGAGTAATATTTTGGATGACGATGTTTGACTTTATTAAAATAATATGTAAAATAATGTAAAAGTAGCAGTCCTACTCTTGAGTTTTGGGTATTCTAATCACCTCTGGAGGAAATATAGAACAGAATGTGTTTCATTTTTGAGAAACTTAAGTAATAAGGTTCACCTTCCTCAGATTTTTTATGTGGCGCATTGAAACTATCATCCCTCCACTATTATGAAAATATTTTTCATTATACACTGAAAAATTGTTAGGATAAATATTGACGATGTGTGAGTTTATTACACCTTGGTAATGGCTGCCGGTTGCAGGTCAGAATTGATGTTTTAATCTAATTAGGACAGTTTCTCTGTCTGTATATACAGTTATAATCTTCATTCTGTACGTGTCAAATATTTCAACATATTTTCATTATCAGTTCGTATGAAATCGTACGAAAAGTTATGCACAGTATTTCGTACGTTTTTGACGTTTTTCCTCGAAAAAACATATCAGTGCGCATGTGCAGCCACACAGACGAAAAAAGCAGATCAGCGGACAGACGTAAAACTGGGACGGACGGTGCAATAATTACTTCATGATGTCTCTCACTAGGTTGCTTGCTGTTTTGTATGTTAGGGTTAATTGTATGTTAAATTTTATGTTATTGAATGGTGCGTAAGATGCGCATGCGCACGGATATCTTGTCTCGAGGCAAGACGTAAAAATACGACGAAATACGATGAAAAAAACGTCAAAAACCTACGAAATACTGTGCATAACTTTTCGTACGATTTCGTACGAACTGATAATGAGAATACACGGAATATTTGTCAATGGAATGAGAGCGATGTCCTTCAGCTAAGAACAAAGTGTAATATTTTGATAAGGATGGAGCCATGGATGTCTAATCATCTGTTAACATGTATGATGTAAAATTATATGATGTGGCAGACTGGAGATGTATAAAATGCATTTTTAACTATTAATCAGTGCCACTTCCTGAGAGGTGAGCAGCTGCCTTTTGTAAACCCAAGAAATTACAATTTCTATCAGACTCTGTTGTCATGTCTCCTGGTTATTTAATACATATAAGTTATGAAGTGTTATTTAAAGAGTTGGTCAGGGTGATCTCTTTTCAGGAAAAATAAACGGAGAGATAAAGCTTCAAGGTGCTTACACAGAGCCTACCTTTAATAAAATAATGCAACTTTTGTTTGGCATTGATTTAATCATATTTAGCTACTTTAACACAATTGTTTCATCTTAGCAGGGTAGGACATGAAATAAATGTGTTAAAGTAACTAAATATGATTAAGTAACTGCCAAAAGCGGTTGCATTATTTTTTTCAGTGACATCTTATAAGGGGCCACTTTTCCACCATTAGTTAATAATTGGTGGCATGAGGTGCGCCTCTGCAGCAAACCAAGTCTCTGTGGTTCTATTTTATTTTTTTATTTTATTTTTCCAAATAAACCGCTTGTTTCTCTTATAAGACAAAAGCTGACAGTATTTTAAAATCAGAACATCAGTGAGAACAATGGTTTCATGAGTGTGAGAAACAGGAATTAGGCTGTGAGGGGATTTAAGGGGTTTCCCCCAGAGTAAAGAAATGAGGCCATCTGTGTTTGGTTTCATTTGGGTCACCTTGATGATTTCACTAAATTAAAGCCTTCCTGGAGCTCAATCCATACCGCTTGGTGTAGCAAAGCCTCCCTGCCTTAATGCGGCTGTTTTAGCGCATTTGGAAACCCATAAATCAAGTTCCATAAAACCGGCGAAAACGCGGGTCTAATCACCAAATTGAAACCAGAAATGACACCGAATCATTAAAGGGAATCTTACTTCCGTTTTATAACCTAACAGAGATGGTGGGAGGCACATAAAGAAAGACAAAACGGCAAGGGCAAACGTTTTAACGGAGAGGCACTCTGGCTAATTAAGTCATTGAACCCGCTGCCCTCAGCAAAGATGTCCACTGCGGAGCCTGGGAGCGGAACCAATCAGCTTTCAACTTGGATTTAGGTGACCAGCAAACAGCCAATCAGAGCAGAGATTTCTGGAAGCCAGCTCAGGCAGTTCTGAGGAGGAAAATATCAAAGGTGGGGGAATAAAAAGAAGCTTAATAGTGGCTGAGTGGAGCAGATGAAGTGTCGCGATGGTTTCAGAGAAGTAGAAGGAAGGAAGTGAGTGTCTCTTGAATGAAAAAGGTAAGGTTAGTTTTCTTCCAGCTCGCGCTGCTGCGGTGTGTGTGTCTGTGTTTTTGGATGGTAGCCGGCAAGATGAAAGGGATTAGGGCGCCGTTACTGTGGCAACATTAGATGGAGGGATACACAGCACCCCTCCCCTCCGTCCTCACACCGGGCCTGATGTTATTTTAGGACGCTTTCTGGGCCGATCAACTGTCTTTATATTCTTTAGCAGCATAATTTCCTCATGGCAGACACGACAATAAACTGCTTTAATTTATCTAAATATAATATGCATTTACCTATAGAAGGTAAATCTCTCTATTTAACTTCTATAGGTAAATAGTGAGATTTGTTTAGATGCAAAAATGATTTGATTTACAAAATTGCCCTTAAATACATGAAAAGTCAAAAAGGAAATGCGGCTAATGTAAATATTCAGTTAATACACAACAGTTTTTTACTGTAGGGCCATTTAAAGATGGTTTTACAGTAAACTTATGTCAATACAAACACACACACAAAATTATGTCTGTATCTCTATTTATTTATTATATAAAATAAAAAAAGTACAATTTCATGTTATTTTTTTGTCCAGAATAGAAAAGAATAAAAAATCCCTTCATTGTCCCACATTGGGCAAATTCTGGTGTTTATAGCAGCAAAAAGATAATAGAAAAATGGTCACACAAATGTGGCCCTTAGAAAAATTGATAAGAATAACATAATAGTTAATAGTTCAAACATAAACAATAAAATACTTTACTGTAAAGTGTTTTAACAATATAAAAAACTGTGCATCCGGAGAATAAATAATCAATATACAGCTATGGACATTTTACAGCAATGGATATTTGAAAATAGCAGCAACATCAATTTCAACGTTTACATATGGATTTCTATTAGTATGACCGTTCCTATAACACTAAATGCATTATGCAGGATATCAATAAATTACTAAGGTGTATATAAGAATCTGGTGTTCTCTCATTTATAGTACTATTTTGAGGGGTTTAAAGAAGTGACATGTGTAGATGAATAGGATGTTGTTTTAAAATAAAAAGTCAAAAAGTATTAATTCACAGTATTTGTATTTATTCAATACATTGTGATGTGCAAAAAGGGACCACTGAGGTTAATTGTTTAAAGTGTAGAATGCCAGAAAGCATAACATGTGTGGAATTAGATTGAAAAAAAATTATCCAACTGCTAACATGAATAACAAAAAGCTGAGCCTTTTGTGTCAACAACAAAAGAGGCTGCAAAAACACACTCAACTTGTTTATAAGTTTTTAATAAGTGCTTCAGTATGGTACACCTTGCACAGCTCTGCAGGATTTATTTTGGCATCCAGGGGCGACGAAACTTCATTGAAGAGTTGGTGGAGTTTTCTCCAGGGGGGGGCTATAACTTCAAAATAGACGTATACGAAAAATCTATCAAATTTATACTAAGGTATCACACCAGTATATTTACAGGAATGCCAACAGCAACTATAAAAAAATATTCTGAAAACTGCTTTTTTTTTAGTGTGGCTCATTTTTTCAACTGTAGGCTGGCATGAAAGGGGGTATGAGAGAGAGAGAGACATGCAGGAATGGACCACAGGCCAGATTCGAACCCAGGTCGCCCCTGTCAAGGACTAAGGCGTCCGTACAGTACATGGGTCGTGGGTGCTAACCACTGCATTACCTGCATGCCCTGAAAACTGCTTTAAATAAGTCCTTGGTCACGCCGGGTATGGAAGAAAAACATTCTCATTGGAATTTGCCTTTTTTTTAACACCAAATTTTAAACACTGAATTTTTTTTAGACGTTGAATTCCTAACATTCATTTAAAAAAAAAAAATTCTGCTACAAAAATTCAGCTGCAAAAATTCAGCCGCACATGTGTTGACCTTTTGGTGAACTCAAGCCAAAGCAATCTACACTCGATAGAGTCGAGCAGCTTCTAGCCAATGAAATTAGCTCATTTGGTCACGTGACACAACGGCTGCACTCAGCGCTGTTCCCGGCTAAATGACGAATTTTTTTTTGTTAAACAGAATGTTTACAAAATGTCAGTTAGCTTCTAACAGACACTTATTAGAGTTTTTCCTCTTATCAGACTGGGTGAAACAACTGAGCCGATCACAGCTGCTACAGCACCCCTGTCTGCCAAGGCTCTTGGTTTGATCCGGAAGAAGCGGCCGGCGGCAAACATATTTTGTTCTTCATTTTGGCCAGAGGCAACATGGCGACGGCAAACAGACAGGGGTGCCGTACTAGCTGTGATCGGCTCAGTTTGGTCACCCAGTCTGATAAGAGGAAAAACTCTAATAGCTGTCTGTTAGAAGCTACTGATGTTTTGTACTTTTGTTTAACAAAAAAAAATACCCGATTCAGCCTAGAACAGCGCTGAGCGCAGCCGTTGTGTCACGTGACCAAATGAGCTAATTTCATTGGCTAGAAGCTGCTCGACTCTATCGAGTGTAGATTGCTTTGGCTTGAGTTTAACTAAAAGGTCAACACTTTTGCAGCTGAATTTTTGCAGCTAAATTTTGACGTTTGCAAAGGGAGTCAGGGAAAGCAGAATAAAGTAATAGCCTCGCTGCATGCAGTTAGCCGAGCCTTGTTGCTGAATTATTGTATAAACCTGTCAATCAGCTGCCCTTTCTAACTGTGGTGAGAGGTGGTGTGCAAATAAAGCTGCTTTCAGGTCTGTGCGCAGGAGAGCTGCGCCCCTGGATCCCTTTTGTATCTTTTGTATTGCAGATGAGCTACTGTACATTTAACGAGAGTCTCTGGCCAAAGATTTGTGCACCCCATGGCGGAAGTACATCACCAATCCGACAACGAACGAAAAAGCTTTACTCGTCATTAAAGTTAAAATATTTATCATGCACATCTAAAAAATATATATTAATGTATTTCAAAATATTTTTATTTTATAATTAAATTTTATGTTTTTTGATGTCTTAATGAAGGTCTTTGGGTGAGTTCGGCGGCACCCTAGCGCCCTCTATTGGCCAGCCGCTGCTGCACCTCACAGTGTCAAAGTAAACTGTTGCGGGAAGCTCGTCGAGGGACACAGATTCCTTAAACTGTTCAATTCGATCAAGGTTTTCAGAATTTTTTCTAATTATTCTTGCATTTAGCAATCATAAATTTTTTTTTTATTTGGGGATTTTTAACTGAACTGACACATTTAAAGTTTTGTCAGATTTAATGTAAAACAGTTTTTTTTACACAATGCATAAAAATAATCATTTCCTGTGAACCAATAGAAAACAAAAAAAGGCAGTTCTGTCGACTCACTCCAGAGCCGACTGAACTGACGAGGAAACCTGGAAAGGTGGTAAAAATTTTTCCAGAAAGTCCAGTTGCCTTCTATTTTATCCTGCTTTGTGGTCGCCATCATTTGGTAACTTAGAACTTGCAAAGGAATACATTTATTTCAATTATCTGAACTTTAAAAATATCAGAATAGGTTAAAGGAGTTTTTGGGCTCGTTTCCTGTTAGTGATCAGGAGTGTTGTAGCTGGTGGTTTATCTTATTCCAGTCAAAAGATGGGAAAACTCAGGGCTGTAATGTTCTGCTCTCATCTTTGTTATGGTGCATGTTCAGTATAGAATAGAATAGAATCCATTTTGGAGAAATTCTCGTCAGAGTTTGGTTGTTCTGAAGGCTCTAGTCCAGAGGTCACAGAATAGCGGACCAGGGTCCGGATTTGGACCCACCTGCTGGCTAATCCGGACCCAACCTGATTTAAAACATTTATAAATTACCGCATGTTGTACGTAGGCAGTGTCTAACTTCACTTGCGCCGCTTCTCCTGTTAATATGGTAAAGCCTTCCGGAGCGTCCGGGACCAGGCTGCACATGATATAAATTAGCCAATGAGCTGCTGTCAGTCTGGGTTGGTGCTGCTGCTACTTTTAGACACAGCAGGCAAACCTGTGGCAAGCCGGGCGATGGGAAAGAAGGAGAAGACGATGAGAAAAAGAGAGCAGAGAAAGTGTGGACTGCTGGAAGAACTGCGGTGAACTGGTGACAGAAAAGTGAAATGGCACGCATCTTGATATGTGCTTGAGAATGGCTTTGTCTCCAAGGTTTAAAGCCTCGCTGCTCTCATTAAGCCAGAAAAAAAAGAGTCAGTTCAGGTGTTTTATAAAATACGTGAGTCAGAAAATTGTCTTTATACCAAACTGAATGATTGTTCTGTTTAAAAAACACTTTAGATTTAAAAATAGAAAAATATTCAACTTTTTTTATATCTTTTTATTAAAAAATTCAATGTATTACATGGATGCATAAAAAACCTGCTTTTTTATTTCAGTGTTAAATTCTGTTTAAAGTAACAGATTATAATTAAAAATCTCTCCGGATCTTTACTGGTTGATGATTTTCTTTATTAGGACCCTGCTGATTTTTAATTGGTTAATCCTGCTCTAGGCCATATCTAAGATCTAGTCCACAAAGTGCATCCAGCTTTGTGTGTGTAACTAAGAAAGTCAAAGCTTGATGTTAAAGGCTCCTAATAATTTTTTGTTTTGTCGTCTGCCAGAAGGACCCATGACCCTGACACGAGGATCCTTCACCTATTCCAACGGAGAGGAGTACCATGGAGAGTGGAAAGAAGGCAAGGACCACCCACTTCATCCTCCTTCCCTGGCTTCATTTCACTGAATAATAATAATGCTGTTATGATCTGACTAAGACAGCAGTGACTGAATCCAACATGGCTGAATGATTGAAAAACACTAAACTGTGATAGTTTTGATCTGCTGTAGCACCTGTGGGGCATGAAGGCCTTTTTTTTTATTCAATATAGATATTTATTCTTTGGTTGCGGTTAAACTAATAATAATAATGAAAAAATATCTTCTTAGTTTTAGTTTTTTTTTAAATGGATTTTAAAACTAGGCTCCCCACCCTATCCCTAGGTCTTAAAGGAATAGTACACCCAAAACATGATTAGCCTTCATTTTCTACTCACCCCCATGCTGAACAACACTCTGGAGTACTTTTTTGATATCTCAAATGCATCTGGAGATCTGGGAGGCTTCTTGCTGTCTGCTGACATTCAAATAATGGAGGTCTACGGTGTCCGAGACAGAAAGGTCCATAAAAGTCCACAAAAAACATGTCAATATTCCTCCATACTGCTCGTCCAATCTATTCCAAGTGTCCTGAGTGGGTAGCGTCCATAATTTACTCGAAACGAAGTCATTTAGAATGTTTTTAGAGCATAAACAGTAGTGTATAGGATTTCCTGAAAGCGCGTTCACGAGTCTACGGAAACCGCGGCAGACCAAACCAGATGAAGTTGCATTATCGGCAGAGCGTCTGCTCTGCTGATAATGCAAGCGTAGAAGAAGAAATGTGCTGTTTACCTGTGCAAAGAAAGAAACAACGAAAGAAAAATGTCTGAGGACTTCAGTGTTGAGGAAGAGCATGAGTTCTTTGCCGAGCTGAATGCGCACTTTCATCTGGTTTGGTCTGCCGCGGTTTCCGTAGAGTCGTGAACTCGCTTTTAGGAAATCCTATACACTACTGTTTATGCTCTAAAAACATTCTAAATGACTTCGTTTCGAGTAAATTCTGGATGCTACCCACTCAGGACACTTGGAATACATTGGACGTATGGAGGAATATTGACACGTTTTTTGTGGACTTGTATGTACCTTTCTGCCTCGGGCGCCATAGACCTCCATTATTTGAATGTCAGCAGACAGCAAGAAGCCTCCCAGATCTCCAGATGCATTTGAGATATCAAAAAAGTACTCCAGAGTGTTGTTCAGCATGGGGGTGAGTAGAAAATGAAGGCTAATCATGTTTTGGGTGTACTATTCCTTTAATCTGGCTCCCGGAGCCAAACCCTTTAAAGTTATAAAGGAAAGGGCCCAAACATTCGACAGCGTAACTTAATCAGTTGCTGTAGATTAACTGAAGCAATGACGCATCATTACATCCATGAAGGTCATATGACATCTACTCTATATTTCAGAGGTGTTCAACAGGGGGTCCGGGACCCCAAGGGGGTCCACAGAGGTACTGCATGGGTGAAAGTTTTGATTGAAAAGACTTTTTCTTTAAATTCCAATCTGCAATTTTTTTCCACTAATTGAAATGTCTTTAAATCCACATTAACATGAATTCAACAAACTGTAGTAAACAGATAACTGGAGGCAGAATATGTCTTTCTTTCCTCAATGTACTTGAGTCTAAGTCTAGTGAACTCAGTTAACTGACCGTTCAGACAGATGATCACTACTTGTTGCTTCCTGTTGGTCATGTGACTCTGCCTCCCTGTGAGGTGCATGCCCCATCTTTGTTATTTGTCGCCGCTGTTGGGTAGCGACCGCCGTATTCATGTCTATGGCGACAGCGGGCTAGCCTCATGAGACCATCCTGATCTCACGAGCTTTCAAGGTTTCACTCGCAGATCAGTCTGGAGACTCTCCGTTGAAGAAAATTTGGAGCCGTTCACCAAACGAACGTCCAATCAGCGTTGGCTTTGAGGCGGGTTGAGGTGTGACGCAACGAGAAGCGCGACAGTTCAGTCTAAAGAACATGGCGGCTTCAGCCGATGAAACTAGCGTTAGCGTGGCTATCGAGCAAGTTTTATCGGAATTACAGAGTATTTCTTCACTGAAAGAAGAGCAAAACACTGCTCTGGAGACTTTTCTCAGAGGAAAAGATGTTTTTGCTCTTCTCCTGACTGGTTTCGGCAAGAGTTTGATCTATCAATTGGCTCCTCTTCGTCGTCGCTCTATCAGTACGTCATATGCTTCGTTGATCTGATTGGTTTATTTGGCCCGTCTATCACCAACATAGGCCAATCAGCTAACCAGTATTTTCGCCCCTTCCCAAAATTACTTCAATGGAAGGTTTCCAGATGGATATGCGGAGCAAATCCATCTGGCGGAGTCAGGTTAACAGTGGGCTGCTGTGACAACAAATCCCATAATGCTTTGCAAGGAGAGCTTTCCTCACAAAGCCTTTGAGGATATATCTGCTCGTATATCCGGGTGTGTTCGATTTCAGGCGCTGCATCCTCTAAGGAGGCCGGAAGAGTTTTGCCTATGGACTCAGATAGGTCCAGCCTTCTCTGGCTTTCATCGCCCATACGCTCTGTTACCTAGCAACCATAACAGTTGACACATAAAGCAGGCAAAGAATGGACGCCGGACTACCGATTAGTCTGCCCTTACTAGTGCTCTTACTACCGATTAGAGCGCTAATTACATTTTTGAGGAGCTTCAGTGGCAGTACCGTCATGGATACCATATTTATAGTCCCCACACTGCACAGATATTAGGATCTCTGCTTAAATTTACACAGAAACATATAAACACAACAGGCCACATTTCTGACTCAATAACCATTGAAACAACTATTTGCATTAATTTCAGATGGATCTACTCACTTACTTGCATCATATTAAATTGAACTCACAATATTCATGCACTTGTCCCGTCCTTCAAAACTGGCAAAAAGAAGGATGGATTTGTCTGACGCATAACGAGGAGTCTTCCAATCCGAACAGGCCTCGGTGCCATGCTATGATGTAATCTGGCCTTTGGAGGAAGCAGCCACTAAGCACATGGGTGATCACTACTTTTCAAGATGCATTGTGGGAAATTTCGAGTCATCCACTAGATGTTCAGACACTCATTTAAAATAGCGTTACCAATGTATTACGACTATATAGAGCCCTATATAGTGGTTAGGGCGGATATTCGGACACAGCCACAGACTCTGGATTTATTTCTGTCTCTGCTTTAGCATTCCTCCTTTATGGCATTATAACTCTCGCAGATACCAGTGAGACTTGCCTTAAACATGAACTGAGATGTCCTCTATTGGATGGTGATGGCATTACTGAAAGAGAGGTTGAATTCATTGTATCGAACAAATTTTATAGTAATTAACCATTAATTGAAGAATTGAAGAATCATCAATTATTCATTTACATCCCTGTTTGAACTGGATCAGAGCTCAAGTTAAAGCAGGCTGATTACAAATATACACCACACTGTCAGAATTAAAACATAAAGATGTTTTCTTCCACATCTAAATGATGTTTTGATGTTTGTTGGTCATCAATATAAACTTCAGATGGCTGGAACATAAAAAAAAATGAGGAAATGTTTAAGAAACCTCAGCAAGCAATAAACTAGCTTTTTCACTGCGTTTTGAGCCAGTAGACATGCTTAGACCTGCAATGCTCTTTATTTCACCGTTCTGTTTTAAAACTCAAGTCTGCTGTGAAGGCTCGGAGCATAGGGGAGCTCTAAGGAGTAAGAGGTTAGGTTGAAATAGGAGTCAGAGAAACGTCGATATGATGATGGACTCCACACGGTTTGATCTCTTCAGGCTTGAATGTAGGACATGGTTAAACAGGAAGAGGAAGCAGGTCTTGTTTTAAAACAAAATATTTGACTGTATTTGATGATAAATTCTTATACCAATTTATTTAGTGCTTACCATGTAAAAGAGTTCCCCTAAAAAGATGTTTTATTAGAGCATAGTCACCTTTTATGTCTATAAAAAAAGACCAAAACTTATATGCCCTATTTGATCTTGACAAAATAGTATTATATGTGCCAAGTGTCCACCTGCTAATGTTTAGTCTTTTTCAGCCTAAATAAAATTTAGGTACGATGTGCAGATGTAAACAGATGTGTTGCCATCTAAATACTTATAAATCATCAACTGCTTTATTTTGAATTAATGAGTTAAATGGGTTTTTAAGAAATCCCGAATGCTGTTTCAATAATCAGTAATTTATGTCTAAACATCCTTCCTTTTTATGGAGGATAAAAAGTGCCAAAATTAAATAAATAAATACAGCATTAAATAAATAATTAAATGTGTCAATAATTAATTAAATGTGGAATTAAATAAATAAATGTGTCATTCATTGATTAAAACCACGTCACTAATATAAAGTGTCACAATTAAATAAATAAATACAGCGATAAACGATTAATTAAATGTGTAATTCATTAAATAAATAAGGAGTTAAATGTATGAATGTGTCAATAATTTAATAAAATACGTCTTCATTTTATTAAAAAAATATATATAATGATTTCAGTGTGCATTTAATTATTTCATGGTCCTGTGCATCAAAACCATTAAAAGAATCTGTCAAACTCACCCATCAAAGTTAGGGGGCGGTTATCTAACACCTGATTGGTCACCCTGCACATTAAGGCGAAGCAAATCGATTACAGAGACTGTGATCCACAGGTTGTGAACATACTCTTATACAGTAGATGGCGACTTGATTCGCGTTAATCCCGCCCCCTAACTTTAATAAAATACGTCTTTTTAAGGTACATGGGCTTGTTGAGAAATAACAGAATCATCCTTTATTGTCCCTAGTTTAGGGTGAAGGGGTGTTTTCAGGTAAAGCAGCAACAAAGAGATGGAAAAAAGGAAAACATTCAGTTTTACACACACCTAAAGTACAACCAAAAATAACTAAAGAGACTGTAGGTAGGGAGACATCAGCAACACAAAAACTTGTTAAAACATATGATAGCGAGGAGTGGCGGCGTAGTGGTAAGGGCATCCTGAGGTTCTGAGTTAAAGCACCACTCCACTTTGGGTCCTTGATCAAGACCCTTA